GAGGCTGCACGTCCGGAGCCTGTGCTCCGCAACGGGAGAGGCCACAACAGTGAGAGGCCCACGTACCACCAAAAAAAAAAAAAGTAAATCAGGGTTTCCCTGGTGGCACAGTGGTTAACAATCTGCCTCTGCCTGACAATGCAGGGAACACAGGTTCGAGCCCTGCTTGGGGAAGATCCCACATGCCGTGTAGCAACTAAGCCCATGTGCCACGACTACTGAGCCTGCGCTCTAGAGCCTGCGAGCCACAACTACTGAGCCCTGGCGCCACAACTACTGAAGCCTGCGTGCCCAGAGCCCGTGCTCCACAACGAGAAGCCCGCGCACTGCAATGAAGAGCAGCTCCCGCTCGCTGCAACTAGAGAAAGCCCGCGTGCAGCAACGAAGACCCAATGCAACCAAAAGAAAAAAAAATTAACCAAAACTTCAAAAAAAAAAAAAAAAGTAAATCAGACCATGACCCTCCTCTGCTCAGACCCAACAAGGCTTCCCATATCTCTCCAAATAAAAGCCAAGTCTTGACCTTACACTGCCCTCCAGGCTGTAGGATGGGTCACCTGCTCTCATCTACTCTGTTCCCTGCCTCGCTTCTGCCACTCCAGCCACACTGACCTCCTTGCTATTTTTCAAACGCTCACTCCAGCTTCAGGACCTCTGCACATGCCGTTTCCTCTGCCGGGAAAGCACTGCCTCCAGATCTCTGGATGAGTGCGCCTCTCCGCCCTCCACAGTAGCTCTTCAGAGAGGCTTTCCTGAGCTCATCTAAACCAGGACTACTCCCCATCTGCACCCACCACGCCCTTTATTTTTCTTTAAAGCACTTAATTAACACCTCCCACAGTACATTTGCTTATTACGGCTTCTACTTTATTAGAATGCAAATTCCTTGAGTACAAAGACTTTATGTCTGATCCTCTGCTGAATCCTACGACCTAGCACAGAGCCTGGCACACAGTGGGTCAATAAACACCTGCTGAATGAAAGCATGTTGAATTAAGCAACCACCCAAGAGAACTGTAAGCTTCATGTGGGCTTTCTGTTTCTTGGGTGATCTCCGCTCCCTGAAAGCTCCTGGCAGTGGCAGACCCACGGCTGCAGCCCAATGGGGATAAAGGTGGCTGACCATTTCTCCATCCGAAGCCTCCACAGCACACAGCATAAAGTGCATCCTGTGAACTGGAGGAACAGAGCGTGCCGGCTAACAGCACTGACTTTTGGAGGTCAAATCCGGGCTGACCACTACTGGCTGTGTGGTCATGGGGAAACAGAATTTTCTGAGCGTTAATTCTGCGCTGTGGGACTTCCCTGGTGGCTCGGTGGTTAAGAATCTGCCTGCCAATGCAGGGGACACGGGTTCGATCCCTGCTCCGGGAAGATCCCACATGCCGCAAAGCAACTAAGCCCATGTGCCACAACTATTGAAGCCCGCGCACCATAGAGCCCACTCGCTGCAACTACTGAGCCCATGCTGCAACTACTGAAGCCCGCGCACCTAGAGCCTGTGCTCTTCAACAAAAGAAGCCACCGCAATTAGAAGCCTGCACACCGCAACGAAGAGTAGCCCCCGCTCGCCGCAACTAGAGAAAGCCCAGACGCAGCAACGAAGACCCAATGCAGCCAAAAATAATTAAAAAAAAAAAAAAAAAATTCTGCCCTGCCCAGAAGTTCCTACTTTCCAGGGCTGAGGTGGGGGCTAAACCAGAGAATGTCCACAAAGCACTTAGCAAGCACAGTGCCTGGCGCAAAAGAGGCATGCAACGAGAGGCAGTCAAATTATCAACAGTCATGCATTTGCCTTTGTCTCTACGTTTACAACGGGCTCTTATACATGCTTTATGTGATTGGGGCTGTTCAACAACCCCGTCAGTTTTATCACCATTTTATAGGTGAGGAAACTGGGTCAAAGGAATAAAGTACTCGCCTACAAAAGACACTGAATCTGACTACAACTCCAGCACCCTCACCTCCAGAGACACGAGGATTTGGCCGGCCCATTAGAGCCCCAGACTCTAAGGCGTGTGCCTAGTGTGGGGCCGCAAATGACATCAGGCAGAAAGCGACACGCCCCCAACCGCCAGATGGAGGCAGGGGTTCCCATGTCCCACAGTGAGGCTCGTGAACAAGTCTGAACAGATAAACCATCTCTAAGAGTCCACCCAGGATTTAAAACATTTCCCCCAGAGGGAAAATTCAAATGTCCTTTCTGTATAGTTTCTCCTGCTAAGAGTTGGGCAGCAGCTCTAAGCAGCGAATGCCACCTTTGGTGTTTGAGATCCTGTTGCCCTGCAGCCTCTGATTCAGTCTGCCATGAAAACAAAGCATCTCTTCCCAAAGGTTACCCAAGGGACACCGCTGCATGGAGCTCTGGGCCTGGCTCTCATCAATCTCCTCTACCTTACCAGGATTGACTGTGGCCTTCTGAGGGAGGCCAGACGGCCGGGAAGTAATCGGCAGGTGTTAGACATGAATTTTAGAACCACAAGGCCAAAAAATCAGACTCCCAGGAGTCATGGATTTTTACAACTACAGCATCTGAGAGACAAAGAAACTTATGACTAACACCTTAAAGCCTCATGGGCTTGGCTGAGATTATACTGGATGAGATGGGCAAAAAAACCTGGGAATCCAATGGCTCCTGGGAACTGAGCATCTTTGATCTGGTCAGAGGCTTAGTGAACACTCCCTTGTGAGAATATAGTCTGAGGGCTCCAGCTGCAGGAGGAAGGCTGGGAGGACAGGTCTTGGATAGCAGCTTAATGGCAAAATTCTACAACCAGGCCCCTTGGGACATGAGATCAGAAGAAGAGACTTCAGAAGGATCCTGCCAGGCCAGCAAGCCCTGGCCCTGGTGAGGTGTTATGAAACCCTGACGGTGCCAGGTTTGTGGCAGGCCACCAACTACCAAGAGACTTTGAGAGCAATACCATGATGGTCTGGCTTGACGGCAGGTGCTCCTTGCCGGGAATGCGCTGTGGGAGCAGCACTTAGCCTTCTTCGGGGTACTGACAGCGCTGTGATTGCTAACTTCTATTTGCATAGTGCGTACAATGGAGAAGAGTGTTTGTGCCCCAAACCCTGGCAATGGCCTAGGAAAGGGCGGCTGACAATGGCTCTGGCCAGGCAGTGGGGATGAGTCTGAGGGCCACTTTAGGGGTCATCTGGAAAAGCGGTCAATACACCCACCCACCCCTGGCCTTATCCACATTCTGTTAAGGTCACTTCAGGTACCTATGTTAATGAACTTCACTGATTTTTTAAAATGAGGAAGAGTTCTAGGGGAGTCATGACCTTGTATCAAAACTATAAAAATCTCTCTCCATATATATAAAAAAATCTCTCCTTATAGAGTTCAGCATCCCAGGCTGCTCAGAGCAGGGCAGACCAAAAGACAGATGTTGGACTGCTTTGCTGGTGTGAGAAATTCCCAGGAGAAGCAGCAGGGAGCACATGAGAAAGGGAGATGGTCTGGCTACTAGAAGCTTGGAAGTCCCGTGCCCTGGGAGATGGACTATCTTCCTCCTCCTCCAGGAAGTCCCTGGTACATTTTTCTGTTCTCTGATCCTTGGGGATCAATCCTGGGAGCACCTCCGGCCGCCAGGCCTGGCTGGAGGGAACAACTCAGACAGGCGGTATGCTCCAGGTAGGATCAGAACTCATCCCGCAGCTGAGGCGGACTGTCCATGCCAAAGAAGGACGACTGCCTCCCCTGGAGGTCCCGTTCCCGCTTCACGAAGGCAGTGAAGGAGGAGACACAGTTGCCAATAAAGTGGTCAGCTTGGCCGAGGATGTACAGGTCGATCTGGGCCACCTCAGGCTTCAGACTCACCACGTTCACCTGCAGGAGGAAGGGCAGGGTGTTTTAGCCAGGGTGCAGGCCTAAGTGGCCAGCTCAGCCAAGGCCTGCAGCCACCTGCCACCTTCTTTCCCCGTGCTGAAGTCACAGACAGACAAGGAAGCGTACAGAGGATTAAAACGTAGGGTCGGGGCACCTGAGGGAAGTGCTGCCCAGCAGCTGCCTTAGCCCCTCAGCTCCAGACACACCACTCATTCACACTCTGCCTTTGCTTGTTGGTTCCCTCTGTCGGGAACGCCTTTTCCCATCCATCACAGTCCTGACCATACTCTCAAGGTTCAGCTCAAGGTCACCTGAGGGGCTTGGCTTCTCCCACCAAACCATGATCTGACCAAAGCACACCCCACCCACTTGGTTCTGTTGCCTGGATGCCTCCAAGACTTAAGTCCTGTGCAATCTATCCCCGAGATATTCCCCAAAGGTGAACCCTTCTCTTGATGGATTACTACTCCCTGGCCAGTCACCATAATCTTTTTTCCTCCAGGTCTATTCACCAAAGGAAAGTAGCCAAAGGAAACTTTTTCAGATTCCCCTTCCCCCCTACTCCTCCCTCTACCCCAAGCTGAGCACCCTTAACTGGTGTCCTACTGCTCTTCAGATAAAGATGACAAATTTTGAATGTGGCCTATAAGACCTGTTCAGATGCCTTTCCACCTTGAGCTCCAGCCACTACACCAGTCTCCCTTCCACCTCAGGACCTTTGCACATGCTCTTCTGTCTGGAGTGCTTGTCTCTTTGCTCGGTTAACTCCTACTTAACTCTCACCCTGCAGCTCAAGTCACACCTCCTTGCGGAAGCCCTCCCTGGCTCCCCCATCTAGTCCAGGCTCCTCTGCTCTACACTCTCACAGAACCACGTTCTTTTACTTCGTAGTACACATCTCAGTTTGTAGCTTTCACTCCTTAGTGATTCTCTGGTTAACGTCTGTTTCCTGCACCTGACTGGGGCTGGGGCTGGGGCTGTGTCAGTTTGCTTGTCGCTGCTGGCTGGGGTCTGCCTCAGTATGCATCTGTTGACTGGACAAGTGAGTGAATGAGCCTCCACACCCAAGCCTGGCCCTCTCTTGTGGCACATCTTATAATCCTTTGCAAATCTCTTTTCCTGAGTTTAGGCTGTGAGCCCTGGAAGGCAGCACCACATCTTATTTATCAGTATCACCGGCTCAGCACTGGCCCAGCTTAACAGATGAGCAAGGCTTAGTTCAAGGGGAAGGGTGGGTTGAGCCCATGGAGAAGGGGGCTGAGTGGTGGAAAAGGGCAAAACCAGTGGCACAGGAACAGGAAATAGAAAATGGCAAGAAGCTCAAGGTATAACAAACATACCAACTCTAGAAACTCACAAAAAAACTCCCTGGGACTCTCCAAATGGGGGTGTGGGCAGAGTTGGGGCTGAAAGTGCTTTGCTGTCACACAGAGATTTCTGATGTAACAAAAATCATCATCTTGCTATTTGGATGGCACATAAAAATAATAGCAGCTTAACCATGGCCAAAATCCCCTGAACAATTCCACCCACGCCCTGAAACTTACCCGCTCTGTGTCATGCCCACTAAAATGAGCCCCGAGACCTCCTGGGTAAATTCTATTCCTTCATGGGACTTTGGTTTTCTCAGTTATAAAACGCAGAGGTTGGGTTAGAGGCACTCCAAGGTCTCCCGGCTCTGATATTCTTCTATAAGGCGGGTGGGTGGGGACCAGAATGCTCTGACTCGGCACTTCCTCTACAAGCCGGTAAAAGAGAGAAAAGGAGCCCCTCGACATAAAGCCAAGGGCACGCTTTCTGTGCTAGAAAGCGGATGTCTGTCTTTTAAGGTCGGCACAAGCATTTAGGGCCTTCATTCACTCAAAAGTCTTATTGAATGTTCACTATTAACTCTGTCATTTTATCGAAACCTACTTACTTATTACCTATTCTTCACTCATACAGTAACAAGCCTGTTCTATTATTCACTCATATACTCAACACCTACTATTCACCACCTCTTTAATCATTTACTAAGCACAGAAAGAGCCCTCCTTGTATTCATCAACCATCTACTTCTACTATCAATGACAGCTAACTTTATTCAGCACTTATTTTTTACTGGACCTGTTTTAATTTCTTTATATTTGATCTTCACAATTACACTATGAGACGTAGGCATGACTCTCAGTCCCATTTTATTGACGAGGAAACAGAAGCACAGAGAGGTAAAGTAACTTGTGTAAGGCTGCACAGTGAGTAGAGCCCAAGTCCTCTGGCTCCAGAGTCCATGCTCTTACTCCCTCTGCTGCACTGGACCCCTACCAAGGGCCCACTCTTTATGGCCTTATTCACCAAACATTTACCAAGTGTCTACCATGTGTCAGGCACTGTCCTAGACACTGAAATGGCAAGGCGGGGTCTCAGCCCTGGAGGAGGTCAAAGCAACTCCCTGAGGAGTACAACAGTGAGTCCACCTTGGATCCTGCCTTCAAGGAGTCACAACTGGGAAGAAATAAGACCTGTTTCTACACTAGTCTCACAGTCTAGAAGGTGTCTCAGGAGGAGATGTGATAAAGTGCTGTGACAGCTCCCAGTAGGGATCCATTAGCCACAGGAGTGGAGGGAAATCTGCGGAGCACCTGCGGAGGTGTCTGAGCTGGGGTTTAAAGAAGGAAAGGGAACCTGATGTTCAAGTAAAAGCCTGGTGGCGGGAGGACGTGAAGCATGAGGTGGGAGCGGGCAGACCACCCTGGTGCTTCCTCTGATTCCCTTCCTGCTGCCCTCCCACCAGGCCCACGCCCCATGTGTACCTTCCCTTTGAAGAGCTGCTGGATCTCGGGTACATAACTCTCAGAGTCAGTGGCAATGTAGACCGACTGGGCGTTCAGCGCCGTCACCCAGAGCTTCAGGGTGCGCCTGATTTCCTTCAGGTCGGGAAGGCACATGGTCATGGTGAGCGGGGCGGCGGTGTGGCGGCTGTAGCCCACGCACTGCGGGGAGGCCATGAAGTGGGCGCCGGCGGTCCCGTCCTTCAGCATGGCGCATGCATTCTTCTGTGGGGCGGGTGGGGACAGAGCTGAAGACGGCCACTGCCCACAACGCCAGAAGCAAGAGCCGGGAAGGGGAAAAAGGCAGGCAATACAGGAGGAGCGCTAACTATTTTTTTTTTTTAAGCATTGAGGGAAGAGGGAAATGCATCAAAACAGTTAACGGTGGTTATCTCTGGGTAGTGGGATATTGGCTTTTCACAATTTTTTTTCTTGGTATAACTGCACTATCTGGGACTTCCAGCAGAATTCTGAACTGTGGTGGTGACGATGGGCAGCCTTGTCTGATTTCTGACTTCAGTGGGAACATTTCTGATAGCTCCCAAGAAGCACGTGTTTGCTGTGGGTTTCGGAGAGATATAGCCTTTATCAAGGTAAGGTGGGTCCCTTGTATTCCTGGCTGGTTAAGAGGTGTTTTTCTTCTTTTTTAAATCATAAATGACTGTTGACTTTTTATCAAGTGCTTTCTTGGCCTCCACTGAGATGATTATATGATTTTTCTTCTTTGGGTGTTAATAATATAGTGAATTTCACTGCATTCCTGGGATAAATTTTACTTGTTTGTGTTGTATGTTCTTTGATATGCTACTGGATTTTAGTTGGTAATATTTTACTTAGGATCTGGGCATCTATGTTCTTTATGAGAATGGGCTGTACTTTCCAGAGTTGACCTTATCTGAGTTTGGTATTAGCATTATGCTAGCTTTATTAAAAAAAAAAAAAAAAAAAAAAAAGATCTTATATCTTCTTATGTCCTAAGGAAGCATAAATGGGAACTATCTGAAACCACTCACAAAATACTCTGGGCCTGGCTCCTTTACTTTGTGGAAGGGGGCAGGAAGGGGGGCAGGAAGGGAATCTAGTGGGTAAATGTGTGATTGCTTCCTCAATTGACTCTGAATGAATTTTGATCTACTTTCTATACTTTTCAGTATTTTCCAAGTTTTCAACGATGAGTATTTCTCACATACATACATATATATCTTCTTCTGTAAGCTAAGGAGATTGTCTACATTACTCCAGTTATTTTCACAGGGAGGACAACCTGATGAGTTTACTGCACATTTAAGTAGCTGCCAAATTTGGAGGATGACATCTTCATTTCTTGGGAGCCCCACCCAACCTCCAGAGCTTGTTTTTCAACAAGGAGTCTACTGGCTAAACACTGAGCTGGGACAGAGGACTGTGGGCTATGGGGCTCTTTCTGGCTTGCTGTCTGACCCAGAGCCTAGCTTGATACCTCAGTTTATCCATCTGTGAAATGAGGATAAAAATGGCAACTGCTAAAATGAAAACTGCCAAGCAAGTGCTCTGGAGCTACATTTCTGACGTGTCTGCGGTGGGATCGTGGGGCACAGTCCCGTGAACTTGGCCAAGTGAGACCCCTCTACCCTGGCTAGGACGTGGTGCAGTGGGTTCAGTGTCCAACCCCCACAGGCATGGGCCCTGCTCAGAGATGTGTCCATCCCAGCCATGAGAGGAAGGGGGAAGTTACCCAGTCGGAGCCAATGCGCAGGTGAATGCCCACATAGGGTCGGATGAGGTGGGCACGGATCTGGGCCTCCCCTGTCCTCACCATCTCATCTGACCACACCATGTACTTTTGGAGCGGCCTATGCTCCTCCAAGACAGGGAACTGGGCCGGGGCCCCTGGCAGGGCAAGCACTGGATGTTCCTCTGGAGAAAACCTAGGCATGAGACAGAAGGAGAAGAAGTCAGACAGAGAGCGCACAGCGAGTCCGGCCGCCACCCCCATGGGAGAAAAGACGGCGTTGCGCCATGCCCCAGAGACCCTGCGGAGGGGCCCTGCAACATGCAAGAAGCACAAGAGGTTGTGAAACCCCAACGGGCTGATAAGAGACCTTGGCAGCGGCAAGAGGCACAGTATGCAATACTGTCCCGCCACACGGAATTTACAACTCTCTTTGATTGTTTAACAATTAAAAATTTACAGTAGAGCACTGCAACCTTTTGTATGTCATGCTGGCTTCCAGTCTGTGGTGCAGTAATTCACTCCAGGTTGGGGTGTCTAGACTGAGTCTTTGCCATTTTACCCACACAGTGGGATCGGGAAGTGCAGCTGCTGACAGGTCACACACTCCCAGGGAATGTGTACGCTGGATGAGACCATTCACTCAGCATTTAACACATTATCTATGGATTGCCTACTATGTGCTGGGGGCCAGGGGAGAATGAGACAGGCATGGTCCCTGCTCTCATGGAAAATATTAGAGGTCTGTAGATGCCCCCCACATACCCTGCCGAAGGCTCTCCCTCCCCCTTGTTCACAATGCACCTTGTAATTATTTTACCCCTGAGTCCAGAAAAGTCTGCTGGACTCAGGCTTCTGAAGTCAGTATCTCCGCGTGCCTAGAACAGTAAATGTAAGAGCTCAGTAAAGATCTGTTGACTGAAGAGAGTGAGGAGCAAACCTGTGTTCCCTCATTAGCTAAGCCCAGACTATATTCCAGCAACATGAAATGCCCTGCTCTTCCATAAGCTTGCAATGCACTTTCAAACTGCAGATCTCTGCAGACTTCTCCCCTCTACCTGGTATGCCTTCCCTCTGCCAGCCAAAATCCTTTTCCTAAAATTATGAAATAAGTACAGGCACTCTGGAAAACAGTTTGGCAGTTTCTTATAAAACTAGACATGCAATTACGATATGACCCAGCAACTGTACTCTTGGGCATTTATCCCAGAGAAATGGAAACCTATATTCACACATGAACCAGTATGCAAATGTTCACAACAGCTTTTTTCATAACAGTCAAAAACTGGAAACAACTCAGACGTCGTTTAACAAGTGACTGGTTAAACAAACTGCAGTACATCCACACCACAGAGCACTACTGCAATAAGAAGGAACCAGCTACTGATACAGGGAACAACTTGGATGGCTCTCAAGGGAATTATGCTGAGTGAAAAAAGTCAGCCTCAAAAGGTCATATACTATATAATTTCATTTCTATAACATCTGTGAAATGACAAAGTTGACAAAAAAGAAATGGAGATGGTTGCCAGTGTGTGTGTGTGTGTGTGTGTGTGTGTGTGTGTGTGTGTGTGTGTGTGTGTGTGTGTGTGGGGGG